TTTTATCTTTTCTATGCTGAGCTCCAAAACAAAGACACCTGGCAGCTTATTCCTCTCACCGCCAAGAGCGCATAAAAGTTTTGGGCAAGGTTTGTGCTAAAAATACACTTTTACGATGACATATCTGAGCCAACGTTGCAGCTTTTTCTTGATTAAGCTGAGGCCCCAGGCAAATTTCTTCTGGTATTCCAGAGATATTTCGACACTTACTCAAACCAGATCATATTTTTGCTGTGTGACTGTTTGGATTCCTTGGCAGAATGCAAGTCAGAATGCTTTTGGTTAGAGTGAGATGCCATAGTCATACCACAATGGTCACATAAGAATGAGAACATCTGACCTTACTGACACTCACAACAGAAAAGGAAAAGCACAGCAAACATCACATTTTAGCTTTTTTGAAGCTCATTTAGCAAATCTAATCAGAATCCGACCACAGCTGATGCAACTCTCGTCTCTTCCTTTTGCCGTACCTCCTGATTCCATACACACCACGTGGATCTCAGGCCGAGTTGGGCTGAGGTGATTCAGCCCAGCACATGCCACACAAGGGGTGTTCTCTCGTTCTCCCTCTCTAGTGGCTGTGACTCAGGAAGTGCTTTTATTCCATTACCCAGCATCCAGCGTCTCAGGCAGACAGAGGTTTACGGGAATACCGTTGCAGAATCATCACCGGGCCTTCGCTTTATGAATCAATGGAACATGCTGCAAATATTACACCCTGCAACACCCTTCCCAGGCAGCACCCTCACATTTGCCCATAACTCACTGCTGAGCTCATGCAATATGCAAAGACGTGGGCTGAGGCTCTTTAGCTCATGGGAATGCACCGAGCGGTGAGAAAACCCAGGAAAAGAATGTTACTATCACTGTGCTACTTTTTATATATAAACAGGTCCGTGTGTATTTTTTCCAAGGAGAACAACCGGACAAAGAGAAGACCGTTCACGATGACGCATTCCACATAAAGTACAGCTGGCTGAAAAAAAAGCATAACCAAAAAATGTGCTGTGTAGTTTTTCACTATCTGGTTAGCCTCAGCAGAGAAATTAAGCGAAGAAGACGTTCAATAAAAGGTCAAATGTCACCGAGCAGCGGTAGCAGCAAAACGTTTCTGAGGGTTGATCGGTCTTTCAAAATATCTTCGAGAAAAAGCGCCTATAAGCTTTTCATCACTGCCACTACTTTTTGGCAAAAGGAGTTACAGCGATACTGAGACCCACAGCCTTCTTTCAAACTTCAGCCGCACTGAATAAACTGATATTTCAGTGCTCGTGTCAGCTTTTTCTCCGTTCAACAGAAAAGTGATCGGCAGAGGAACTTTTTTCTTTTCCTTTCTTTTCTTAAAAAAATTATATTTTTAAGGAAAAAAAAAGATGAAAATGATTCACTATTTAAAAAGTAAAATGTGGTTTTGGCGAAAAGTTTAAAAAGCAAGCAACAAAAAATGACTCTGTAAAGTAAATGATACAAAACACTGCAACACCTGAATATTAACCCAGATGAGGATTTGTATTCTTTAACTATTGCTTTGATTTTTTTGTGACCCGATTAGGGTAAAACCAAATTTTCCTAGCTTGCTTAACAGCCTCTAAAATATAAAAATATATGAACTTTCATTAAATTTTAGACTAGATTTAATTAATTACCTTACCAACTATGACATTATGACACTTTTTCATTCCTGAAGCTTTGTGTTGGAATACTGGGGAGAAAAAAATGAACGACTTCACTAAACTATATGAACTCCATCGACTGCTTTTGGTAACAAGTTAACAAACCACGATGTAAAGTCACTGATTTGTGTCGATTTTCTTAACCTTTCAGCATTAAACCAAAACAGTTCAGCAATAACACAACTGAACTCTCCCCCCAGAAACAGTGAAATCCAAGCAAAATAAATCATATTGTCTGGGCATACATCAAATACGCTTAAAGGCATTTTAAGCCTCAAGTCACAGGTAGTTTAAGAAATTTAAAACCCCTTGAAACAGCTGAAACAAATATTCTCCCAGAATTATAGATATATAAACATTTTGATGTGACACAAATCTAATGATTTAGATGAAAGCCTATACTCAGAATCTAGCCAACGGAAAGTATTGGAATACTGATATTTTTATGTAATCACCAGTTTCCTCTTAGGCTTGGCTGAACACTGGGTTTTGATGAATGAGAAGGATATTTTGGGACATTTAATTACTCTGATTTGTCTGACTTTTTAGGAAAAGGCGACTCTGACAAGCTTTTCTTCTGTTTTTCAGATACATTTGACACCACACGGGTAACAATTCACACAGTTTGCTTGGAACCGCTGCTTTTCTCACAATAAAGACTTTGCACTTACAACTGAAATTATTCACGGGCTACTGGAAAGCTGTCATTAAGTGTATTACACTTCAGAGGCTGAAAGCAGCACTGTAATGGTTGGTTGTTTCTCATAACAGTCAGATTATCGCCCCACAGTCTGACGTCTGGGGGAAAACACAGGAAACCAAGTCAGTCTGAGGGAATTTCACATTGATACCAAAGCCACTTCCCCATAAAAATAGTGTCTGAGGATATCAGTGGATGTGTGCACGCAGTGTAGGCTCACACAGTGTCTGTTTACAATATATAAGATCGATGCTATGGAGGTTGGTGAGTTTATGTGCTTACACTGGTACACCGGTGCTAGTCACATGATAATGTGGCACAAAAACATACAAGCTCAAATGTTGATTACTCATCTCTTTAGAGACATCCTGTGCATTATCTGAGAGCAGCAGTGTGGGACACCAGCACACTCTTCAGACTCAAACATTTCCTTAAATAAGCTCAGACTCAGCAGCATCGTTCTGGCCAGGAGAAACTTCAGTAAGATATCAAATGATGCTAGAGTAGACAATTCATTCAAGCTGATATTCAGCTGGTTTCCTTGCAGGCTTAATATTTTCTTTGCTGGTGGGCACTAATATTTATAGCACAGTTGACCTGCAGTGTTAGAGTGAATAGCCACCGTTAAACTCACAAAGAGGACGGAAAAAATAAGCACACTGTCTGAAGTCATGCACAGATTTAAGAGTTATTTGACTTGGTGCAAAGAAAAATAGAGAAAATGGTGCTTTTCTATCGTTTCTATAAATAAATATATATATGTATTGTCGAATGCTCTCTCATTCACCGACTCTCATTCTAGTCAGTGGTTTTACACTTGTAAACACTTATGCAAACAATCGAACACAATGAAGAAAAACTGGCAGAGAGCATGGTTTTTGCAGTTTGGGAGCAATTAGAAAACCAGCAAAGCAGTTCCAAATGCAAACATCTTGTGGTGCGTGACAGCTTTCCTCCAAGGATTAGATGAAACACCACCACCTACATTTGAATCGCTGTTATCACTGAGTAATACCTCACTTTTTGCAATTACAGGGTTCACGGAAAAGGTCGGGAATCTCCTATCTGAGTTAAGTCTTCCTCCGCTGTCTCACTTCCATTAGGAGAAATATTACAGGCACTGTTTGTTCTGAGATCCCTTTCAGAATAAATCTAAAGTAATGGTTGAGAATGCAGCCTTAATTCCAGCTCTGTCCCCAAATGGGAGTATGTAATATGACCGGGCTGAAATGAGGCATTATACAAAAGACTGATGAGTACTGAGATCATTTTCATACTCCATGCTCACCAAGACTGACTATAAAACACTGTAAAAATGCCTGTAATGCAGCACATATTTGTGCAGGCTAGAAACATTAGAGTTCACATTAAACGTAATTAAACTTTGTATTCCTGAATGCTACAATAAAATATAATGTCGCCGACTCAGTGCATGCTTAAGGAAACTCTTGCTGGATGAAGTTTTGCTTGCCATAAAAATGATGACCTTATTAAAATTTCACTCAATTGTTTTATACATTCAGGCCAAAAAAAAAAGAATGCGTCTGCCTCAGTGTTAATCTGCATAACGTGAACTACAAACACATAACACATCTTGCATTCCCACAATTTACGGGAAGCGAGTTCAAAAGCGCTGAAAAGACAATGAGACAATTCATTCTGGTTCGGGATGCTGGGGATGGAGGGCTGAGGGCACAACTGTGCTCTGAGAGAACTCATAAATGCCGAGACACATTCAGCAGACATATGGTTTGTGTTTAGGACCAAGAAACAATAATCAAATCCGTTGATCCTCTTCTTGCTGCAAGGGTGATTGCTAATATAAAAGTCTGTTCAGTCTAATCAGAATTTAGGACGGGGCTGTAATTACCTCCACCCACTCACAACAACACTGTCTAAACAGGATAGCACAGACTAAAAGCACAGTTTCCACTCTGTATACTATTTATATTCCACTTTCATCTATGTCATTTTTGCTTTAAAGATTTTCCCTTCACCGATAAACTCCCAGCCCTGCTTCTTGATTTTTTTTAACCAACAGGCACCAAAGGACTCATATAAGAATATTTTAGCAATTTAAGCATGTCTACTTAGTTAACTAAAAGCCCTAATATTTTTCTCAAATTGAGACAAAACAGACAGTTGCAGCTGTCCAAGAAAGAGTTTTCCTATTGTTAGATAAGCCAATGTGACACTGAACTAAACTATTCCTTGTTAACACACATAGGAAGTGCACATTTGCTTGGCAGCTTTCTATATCCCTTCACAGAAGTCTTTGATAGACTGTTTATGAATTGGCCAGCACCCAAAGGAGGTCTGAGTTTAATTAAAAGGCCTAACGCACAACTGCAAACAATGCTCTTTACACCAAAGTGCAGCTATATCAAAGGACGCTCTTTAGAAGCCATGTGGAAGCAATATTCATTCAGCTGATGGCTTTTTAAATCACTCTCAAATAACCAGAACTGCTAACTGGTCAAACTGTCTGGCTGAATGTGCCATAACGTTTGTTTTAAATAAAGAGATGAAAAACATTTCAATTTCCTTCAACTGGCGAATCCACTCAGTTAAAGGACTTTGCAACATCCTCCATGCTCAGCAGCAGGAGTGCCGACAGAGCCTACCTTGCACCGGTGGGAGAGAGAAGCACAAGCGCGCAGTTTTGCCTGACAGATGCGCTTTTTCCTCGGACGCGGAGAGTCGCTTCGGGCTGGCGCAGTTCATGTGAGTCGGGGTGTCATGAGGGCTCCGGCAAATCTGCGATCCAAAGCCGTTCCCTGCTCGCCGCGCACAGATGTCTCCCTTGCTGCCGTACACGGAGAGCGTCAAGCCAGTGAAGTCGGTGAAAGCAGGGGTCTGGCAGTGGCTCACCATCCCGAACAGCGCTGAGGAGTTTTGCATTAATGACCCAGTGCGGTCCCCGCTCACATTACCTGTGCGCGTGAAAAGAAAAAGGTCAACAAATCGCTGCAGTCTATATGAACCAGGGGGAAAATCGTCACATTGGGAAACTTCAGGGATTTGGCAACACCTACCTTGTCCAATTTGTTTACGAGGAGCAGAAAGAGTCTAAACGCGCACACGACCATGCTTATCAAAGCGGAGAAGGAAGCATTTGCACGCCTGATCGATAGCATCCTCTCAGTGGCGACCAGACATCACAACATCCCGTGCACACACCTCTCTCTCTCTCTCTCTTCCCCCCTCTTTTTGCGTGAGATTGACACCCAATAGCTGCACCGGTATGCAGGAGCGCCAATAAGGACGATGTCCGTGTTTCCGTGGGGGGATAAGATCTGGATCGGGACGATGTAGCAGTTCTGAGTAACGCACGAATCAAGATTCGAATAAACTCCCATAAAGTTGTGTGCAATATCCTGCATCATCATGCGTGTTTATGATGCGCCCGGTATCATTCAAAGCTCGCTGTTACTAATCATGATGTGATCGAGACTATGTCACAACACTGAATTTCAGCGTTTAATGACCCACAGCTTCTGAGGGAAATGTAAGCATTTACGAGAACAAGCATAGTTTCATATGCACAAGGCTATTCCGAGGCTTTTATTGAGCAGGTCGGATCAGGACTCTCCATCTCAGTAGTTCGTTTGGTTATGGATTTGTGTTTGTGGTTTCCATGCTGCTTTTCCACAGAGGCTTGGCTTAATTTAAAGAAAAATAAAAACGTGAGGGGAACTGTTTATACCAATAAATCCCTTTGCATTCAATTAAATTGGTCAGTTTGCTTGAGCCGCCAAAATGATTTCAGTTACTTTAACTGTTCATGAAAATCACGAGTTCTTACGTTTAAAAAAAGTTTTCAATAACTAGTAATATTAATGGGATTTAATCTCTATTGTTGCGCTTAAATTGGAAACATTTCTCAAAAATAATGTAAACAGCACAAATTATTCTAAAGCTTTCCTGTTATTTATGGCAGTCATTTGAGAGGCAAGCGCCACCACTCTGTGGCCAAACTTAATAATTATCTAAACAAGTTTAATATCAGCGGTAACACAAAACCTTCATATAGAAAACCACCAATCAAAACCACCACTGTTGCCTTATTAACCCACAGATTTCATTTCAGTGCTTATGATCAAACGCTGACCGGGCGCCTCACCCTGTGAGTGGCTGGGTTTTCTCTCTCTCTTAACAAGAAAATTGCAATTCTGCAGCGCCATCTTGCGGCGTTTACATGGAAGCGAAGATGCTCAGTAAAGACAAATCTAAACAGTTGCGTAAATACACGGAGGTGAAGGAAAGTTTATAAATGCCTTAGGAGATAAACGGCGGGAGTAAGCGCTCACTTTGCTGCTGTAAAGTGTGAGGAAAATATCCATCGGCTGTAAAAATGCGCGACTTGTGCTGCCTTTGTTTCTTCATCCGGTTATTCCAATTTACTAAACTAAACTAAAGGTTTGAGTTTGTTTTGAATTTCCTGTGTGTTACTTAAAACGACAGTTTTCGTTTCCTCTGTTTCCTCTTATCTATTTGGCTAAACGGCAGAAAATGAATTGGAGGATGTAACACGGCCAGACTTCAGGGCCTGGCACTTATCTCTAAGACTTATCTCTAAGACTTATCTCTAAGGGAGTTTGAGGGGACAGTTTGAAGATGCTACGTTTAAAAAAAGAATTTAAAATGATTTTTTTCACCCATTTTATAGACCTAGGATTCATTGAACGGCACATGTATGTGGCATACTAATCTGTAATTTTAATTATTAACTGCATGCTTAAATCATACTCAGCTTACAAGAACCATTTTATTACAGATCAACATCACACAGCATAACTATTGTTTCAAAAAGTAAAGTGGAGATGCTGTCTGTGCCTTCATCTCCTCTCACTTGGACCATTGTGATGCACTGTTTTCTTGTCTGACTAAAACATTTATTAAACACCTCCAGTCTGTGCGAAATCCTGCTGTAACAAGTCTCTGAAAATTACCCCACATTTGACATTTTTAAACTGGCTTCCTGTGATGTTTAGAGTTCATTTTAAAATCCTGGGTCTTAGTTTTATGGGCCCCTTCCTACATTATGGAACTGTTCTGCCCCTAAGAGCCAGGTTATGGTGTCCTCAGATAGGGCCCTTTTAATGATTCCAACTAAAGGGGATTCTGCCTTAGCTCCAAAACTATGGAACAGCTTACCAATATCTCTTTGCACCCTTTACCCTTGGCATGGGTCTGGATTTAATCCATTTACCTCTGTCAAGCACTTTGCAACTGTTCTCTGTCCTGAGAAGTGCTACAAAAATAAACTTTACTTACATACACAAACTTAGGGCTGACCTCCTGAGGCACTGACCCCTGGTACAAATCGCCTTCAACAGGATTCCCCATAAGGTGTCATAGATAAGAAGGTTGAGAGGGTCATGCAAGATCCTGCAACAAGTGGACAAATAGTAAGAGGCTCCCAGTTTTTCTCATGTCGATGCGAGACTCAGGCCAAGAAAATTTAATTTTTCACTTTTGTGACCTCACTGCAGAACATTTTATTGTTCTTTAGACCTTTGTGCAGCAACATAGCAGAGGGCACTAAGCCTGTACTTGTTGACCATATAGCCTATAAGATTAGGCTAAGATAAGTAAGCCTTCTTAATGGGTTGAAGTATTTTTTTTTATACTTTTTACTTTCTCCCAAGACGATTTGGTCTTTCCAGGGCTGCAGGTAAAAGAAAACATCTAAAGATTTTCTAACATGAATGAATCACCTCACGGGTTCAGCAATAGTTTTAGAAACTGCTGTTTCTCAACACAGTTCACTAACAAATTTTGTTATCAAGACTCAGGTCAAAAGCCTACATCTCTCGTGGTATGAGGGTGCATTAGTGCCTATGGAGCTAGTAGCTTGCACATGTGGAAACGCACCATCAATGCTAAAAGCTACATAGGCTTTAGAGCAAAATATGCTCCCATCCAGATGGCTTCTTTTTTAAGAAATACCATGCATATTTCAGTTACACAATACACAGTCATAAAAAAAAACTCTTTTTTGAGACCATTTTTATTTTTTCAAATTCAAAACTACCTCCCTTACTTTTCCTTAAAATGTTACATTTCCTCAGTTTTCTGTGTATTGTGAATAGAATATGGAAACAGTTGCATTCTGTTTTAATCAACATTTTACACAGCATCCCAGCTTTTTTGTTTGCAAATGTAGAAGTTTTAACACTGGAAGGAAGCCTTCATATTTTATCCAAAAACTTTACATTACAGGGTTCTCATTGACCTGTGTAAAAAAAACAGTGTAAAAACTATTTACCAATGTGCCCAACTTCTACTGGTCAACAGTAGAGAGTATTCTGACCTACTGCTGCACAATGTGGCTCACCAGCTGCACAGAAGAAACAAAAAAAGATCAGATACGGGTGGTGAAGGCAGCCAAGTGTGTCACTGGTGCATTAGCCCACTTACAATGAAAATTGTAGGTGGGCTAAAGCAGTTAATTAAAAGTAGTCTAACATAAATGTAAACGTTGTAATTGGATTATTTTAATAAACATGTAACTTGGATGGATTAGATGCTGGCGTGACCACAGTGCACACGTCTGCTGTTGCTCACAGTGGTCCAAGTGTCCGCTCAGGGAGTTTGTGTGTTCGCTCAGACACGTGAAAAATTAGAGGGAACATTGGACATGACACTGTTTCACAATAAAAGCATCATGTAACTTTTTTGGCCAGATAAAAGTGAAATTCACTTTGCGATAAATACCATGTAAATAAATACATGAAATTCAAATATTGCGAATAATTAGAAAAGCTCAACATGTTTGTGAAAATAAAAGGTAGTCTGTCATCTGAGAGTTCATTCATGGAGAAACTGGTCAAAGAAAGAATTTGCCATGTGGCCAGGTAAAAAGTGCACTTCCTTTGTCCCACTGAAAACTAGGTTTAGGCTTAAGCGCGCCTTTTTGACTTTGAAATCTCCCTTTCTTTTACCCCAGAGATAAGATGACTTTTATACATCTTTCTGGTGGCCTGCAATTAGAAAACAAGTAAAACAAGTTCAACAGTCCCGGGACATCTTCCCCATTATTTGGCTTGTCTGAACCTAACAGCTTCTCTTCTCTTAACATGACAAAGTTACATTGCGGGTTGTCAACCCAGGTTTTCACAATTTAGCTGTGGGCCTGTTTACAGAAAACTGTGGCAATGACACTGGGTAACTAATGCAACATAATGCAAACTTTTCTTAGAACAACGTATAATTTTAAACATATATGACGAGAATAAAAACATAATACAAGACTGTTCCTGCAGCAAATGCCATGAAGGAAAGCTGAAAAAAGTGCACTGTGAAAGTTAATATATGCTTATCACTAGCGCTTCCACATCTTTAAAGGACAAGCAGATCTTAATATAGTTTCAATTGGAATTTGCATGAAATTCACGTGTTTAGGTGTATTTTTATTGCATATTAGACAGTTTTAGATATACTTAGTCTTATTCCTTCACCTGTGGCTTTGGCGTTAAATGTCTTGGCAGCAAAAAAAGAACAAATATAAAAATACAGGTCAAACCAGGAAGCTTTTTTGTAAGCTACTTACAAATCTTAAGGGTTATAATGTCAACAAGTAATGCTCTCTGTTTTAGGATTATGTTGCTGTACAAAGGTCCACAGAAAAAGGGAATAGATTTTATTCTGAAGGAAAGAGGGGAAAAACCCCCATTACATAATACTCATGCCCATTAGAGATGGCTAAAAGGTTTAGACTTCATCTAAAAACTATGGCTGTTTTTTCAGGAGAATTAATTATTCATTAGGTTTATAACTTAACTGACTGAAAAGGTTGGATTATGTTGTACTCACAAATATAATCATATTTTATAATATATAAAATTAATATACAGGAAGAGATTTGGTGTATGTGTATGCTATAACTAAGACAAGGATGTCGACGTGACAGGTCATCACAAAGTGTTGGTATAACATTAAAATAAATAAATAATTTAATGCTGAAACTAGGAGACCTAACCAAAACTAAACATTAATTTTTTTTAAAAACAAACCAAACACACTCAGGAATTAATGAAAACCAAATTTAATGAGCTCATTTTATTATTGAGGTAATAGTGCAGCAGATAGTTTAAACTCTCTTAAACAATTCAAAAGTAGACACGAGTTTGAAAATGCCCATTAGTTGCATGAACCTTTGGTCATCATTTCAATCTTAGGAAACAACTTACTGGACAAATTTCATAACTTTTATTTTTTAGCTATATGCTTTTGACGTAAAGTAAGTCAGATGCATAATCTAAAGACTTCTTCAGATTGTCTGTGCTTCAAGAAACACAAAATAATTGCAATGAAATATATGTTACATGCTGCTCCAATCACAATATTACTACATCCCCTTAGCTAATTATGGAAAAAAAATCTTATGAGTAATTTCAGGTTTTTAAAGTCCACGTATGCATGAATCTATGATTTGACATCGTATTGAAAAAGGCAGGTCCAGTTTACTTAATCTGGAAAAATATATTTATTTATATCTATTTTTCTTCCCTTTTTTGACAGTCACCACAGAAAGGCCATCACTTGAAAGGCCTTATGGCCTTTACCAAAGAAGTAACCATAAAAGAGGTTACACACTTGTATCCCACTGTGAACAATTTCCCCTGTGATGTTAAATTACCTGCAGCACTACAATACACTCACACGTGGGAGCTACAAAGCTGAACTGCACTTGGCTAACACGCTTGCTAACATAACCAGTGTTTAAATAAACTGAAAGCAGGCAAAGCTAAGTCAAACTTACATTTATGTGGCCTGAAAAGAAGACGGCGACACCTGTTGCCCTTTAACACCCATGTAGCTAAACAGTGGTCGAGCAAACCGCCAACAACTACCACTGAGCCATGTGGAAAAACAACCTCATACTCGTTAGCAGTGTTCACGGAGCGGTTGTTTTCTCCTTTATCCTTCTCCCACAAATCAGTAGGGTACCCGGTGCTAAAGCTAACTGGTGCTTTGGAAAATACAGGTATGTGAGGCGATTACTAGACGTCATTAGCGATAAATTAAACATTGAGCTGAAAAGAATCATCAGTGTTTCCTGCTACCGGACAGAAACTTTTCAAAGCATCGTTTTGGAGCAAACTTTTGTATTATGAAATGAAATGTTGATTTTATGTCTCGATGACCTACAATTATAATTAAAGTTAATCTTATTATAATAACCAAATATCAGTTTGTCCGTGAACTCCTCTTACGCGCCTACGGTCATGTTGCCAAGCAACCACTTACTAGCAGGACCTAAAACAGGACATCGGCTAATTTTAAGACAGTCGTACTCATTTATATCTTCTACTTATTTGTATAAACGAGAGCTACCAGCCTTTTTTGATTTGGCTTTGATTTGATGTTTCTTCACGGTGGGAAATATTGAAGAAAATTAGCTCCCAACTACGCTATGGGATGTTTAGCAAGATGAAAACGCGGATATTAATATGTAATCAACAGAAAGCGTATTAAAGCGCAGAATAACAACTGTTACCGTCGTGTAAATGGAAGTTTGTTTCTGTTGGTAAAATGAACGATCTTACACGAAAGACCGTGAAGGCAGCAGAGTGGGAGGGAGCCTGACCAACAATTTTAAACGAGCGATCCAAAGAGTTCCGCTGGAGACGCCTTGAAACACGGGACATACCACCGGCAAGCTGCTGCCATGTTTCTGCAAAAAATTCTGCTTTATTTGTCGACAGCATGCATGTTTTGCTACATGTTGGGACTGTTTCTCATGCTGGCGATATTGCAGTTTTTCTCACCAAGCCTTGCGAAGAAGTTCATACTTCGCATGGGTGAAAAGATCACCATGACCCAGAATCCCAGGTTTAACTATGAGGATTGGGGTCTGACATTTATGTCCTTGGCATTTATTAAAACCGCTTCTTTTCACATGTGGCTGTCTCTGGGAGAAGAGGCGTTTGTGGGAGGAGAAGCTCCAGACTCACCTGTGGTCACTATGGACCGCGAGAAAACCAGCATCTCCAAGTATTTAAAAGGTGCGTTAAAGAAACCCAGGCTCATCTGCTGTTATGCAATGCTTCTTTGCGCCAACATTGCCGTTTCTCTGCAGGCAACAGAGCGCTTGTGCTGAGTTTTGGAAGTTGCACCTGACCCCCGTTTATGTACAAACTTGATGAGTTCAAGCAACTCGTCAAGGACTTCAGCGATGTAGCCGACTTTCTTGTGATCTACATCGCAGAGGCTCATTCAACAGGTGAGTACAAGTTGTTTGCAGAACCTGAAATTTGTGGGTGGAGACATGTGGCCAAAATATCACCAAGCAAGAAAGTGAAGGTTTTTTGTTTCTTTAAGATCTGAAATCTGCTGATGAATGTTTAGCTTGAAACTAAACCCAGGAGATGCAGATCTGTGATTGGCTATTGGACGTTTGTAATCCAGTTATAGCATTCATTATCTCTATGAACACACAAACTACTTATATGCTTTTTGTTTATATTGTTCTGGTGCAATCATGTGAAAACGCACTTTTGGTTTCACTTGCAGATGGTTGGGCCTTTAAGAACAACTATGACATCAACCAGCACCAGAGCCTGGAGGACAGGCTGTCTGCGGCACAGGTCCTGGTTCAGAGTGAACCCCTGTGTCCTGTGGTTGTGGATGAAATGACTGACGTCACCACCATACAATACGGAGCTCTGCCTGAGAGGCTTTACATTCTGCAGGCTGGGAAAGTGCTCTACAAGGTAAGACAGGTGCAAAAACGGGCAATTTCTTGAATAGTTTCTTTCCGAGCTGCTAATTGATGAGTTGTATTTAGAGAGCAACAAGGCCAAATTCTTTCACTTTCCACTCACTGCTTCTCTCACGCAATTTGAAGTCATACTAGCATTATGGGCGTGAGTGCAATCTGCACCATCTCAACACACGCCATCGCGTGTGGTGCAGGAGTTGAAGAAGCATAACAAGGGCACATTTTTGGCACTGAACCAGGTTCATGGCAGCCGGACCAGATATGTAGTTTAGATGACAAAAACCTGTTTCTGGTCCTCTCGTTTGAATTAAATTAGTATCTTTATAATAAAGTGTAATTAATTATGCTTTTAACATTTGTTACTATTCCCTCAGGGAGGGAAAGGGCCTTGGGGCTACAACCCAGCGGAGGTGCGATCCTTCTTGGAGAAGATAAAATAAGAAACTCTGCGCTTATATGAATAAGGGTTTCTTCTTATTAAGGGGTGGGTTTTATCTACATTCTAACCAGTATACATTACTTATATAGGTGGGGGATTTTACAATCAGGCTCTCATGTTGTCTTAAAAAAGATATCAGCCTCTGAGCTTGAACTCTCCTCTCAGTGTTAATTAATGACGGCTGCAGATTAAACTTTGGACTCTGGAGCCAGATGCATTCAAACACAGGGAGACAGTCCACTCAGCGGTTGTGATAAAACGGCGCATACAGGAGATGTAATTTGTGTGAGCATGCATGTGTTTTTTGTCCATATTCTCTTTTTGGTTGCGTGGTGGGTTTATTATGGCGCAGGTTTGTCTGCATTGTAACTGTAATTCCACTACATCAGCATGTAGTCCTACTGTCAGTCGTTCACATTAATCACAAAAGGTGTAGAAATGGTGTGTAACCTTTCTGTAGTCTTAAACGAGATGTCAGCCTCTGAGCTTGCAACCCCCTCTCTGTGTTTCTTAGTGACGGCTACAGATTAAACCTCTGGTCTCTGGAGCCAGATGCATTGAAACGCAGGGAGACGGCCAACCTCAGTCATGTCATGTTCGTTGTATCACAGACTAGACAGCAGATGTAGTTTGCTTCCATATGTGTTTTGCTTATGTTGCCTGGCTTCTTCAGTTAAACTCCCTGAAGATTTAAGGCACTGAAAGTTTTCCCATTTTCAGTGTCAGTTATCAAGTGCACACTTATGAATTCTCCACAGTTTCAACAGCTGGCTACTATTTACATGACAATGACAGTCAAAACCTCTTCTAGCTGGAAGTCTTTGAACTACGTAGGTTAATTTATTATTGGACACTTATTGATTTGAATATTCTTGGATGTGAAGTCATCCGGTAGCACCTCAACATAAGAGTACTCACTTTGTCAAAGTCAGTCATAAAAACAGACATGCAGCAGCACCGTATGCTAGCCACTTTGTGTTTGTCACTGTGACTCACGCTTGACCCATTAAAAGAGAATGATTGTTGCAAAGCTCGAGTTCTCCATTATTACAAAAAATGCTTTCAGAGTTTTAATACCAACAAAGAGCAGATTTCTCCCACATGAGAATCTGCCTGTTGTTTGCTGTCTTGTCTGGAAATGATAAACCTTCTGCACTGTGTGTGGATTGTAAAGTTCAGATTCCTTAATATCTAACTGTGTTATCTGCACATCAGATGATTTTGGCACCCAGTGTCCATGTTACATAATTTAATCTAATGAGGGTTCTTATCTTGGTGTAGTTGGTGAAAGGGCACAAGATAGCTTTCAAGTATTTTGATAAAATTTTGTATTGGAGAAAAGAATCGATTTTAATTTCGATCCAAGCATTAATAATTTGTAGTTTGACTTCTTTTACTTGCCAGAATACTTTGTGTGTTGTCTCAAACACTAGTGCTAATGCGAGACTTGTGGCAATAATAAAAGCAAAACTTGTTGAAATGAAATAAGGTTTGTTATTCATTTTTTTTAAATCCTGTTTTTACAAGTTATATGACACAGATATGTTTGAACAAAGGCTGCAGCTTTCATAACATTTCTTGTGTGACTGAAGTTGGAGGGTAGGTTTGGCTGCTGCCCAGTCAGGCCACATCCTGTGGAGGCTAGCCAGCAGCAGCTTAGCCCCATTTCCCATTGTTAGACAGGAACCACAACACTGTAGGATCCTCCCAACGATGAACTTTGATTCAGACCTGAATCAAAGTTTAACCAAACCATGGATGTGCAGTATGTGTGTCAAAGCCATGGGCATTTGCAAAGCATTGTGTGTATTGAAGCCCACTAGAGGGCAACATAAAGACATGGAGGGGGAAAAACCGATCATGCTCAAGTGAGTTTTATATTAAGATAACAGATGCATCATTCAAGGAAAGTGAAGGACATTTAATAGAATAAAAACATTTCATCAAGGGTTTGTAGATTCCAAGTGCTGCTCTTCTGGCCTTTACTTGTCTTAAAATTCTTAAGCTGCAAGTAAAAACATTTACAAGATGGAAGTGCAACAAAAATGAGTCACCATGTGATTGTAACAGCAGTTTGATGTCAAAAGCAAAGTGTGCTTGTCCTCCGAGTTTAGGGGAAAGCTGTGCTTGGCAACTCCCGGAGCTTTCAGTGGCTCCTCCAGCAGGTGGCAATAAATAGATCCCGGCTAAAATAAACACAGACGTCTAAAACGAAACTATAAAGACCCTTTGGAGCCACTCACCATTACACCGTGAAACGAAGCTTGACGATCTCCCAGCAAAGGGTAAGTTGTGGGCTGAAAACTGTTGAAGGTAAATTGTTATATGGTGGTAAATGGTGTGAAGGTGGCTGTTTGCAGCTTAAATGTACTCTTACTCTACTGACAGTCACGAATTAATCCAAAGGATAAACATTCATGATGCGACGTAAAGCTACTGACATAACTTTAGAAATCACCCTATAATCTTTAAGGTTACATCGTCCAAATAACTCAGTGCACAATTTCAGCTGCTCTTCAAGTGTTTCTTTGGCTGTGATTGTTTTCTGCAGAGTAAAGATTTGTTGTCATACAGTGTAGACTGACGGCAATCCCCACTGCGAACCACAGTTACACAGTTCAAAGAAAATGTAAAATATTTCCTACATGCACCTTTTAAACTGTTATTTCTGCTACATGGAACAAACTGTAACAGAACTGAGCAGGTGACTGTCCCAAACCCACTGATGTCAACAGCTGAAACGATTTGTCCCTCATCTTTCATGCACAGCCGTTGAGCCAGAGCTGCAGTTTCCTTTGAGTCAAAGGCTCCCTCTGGACTTCCTCTTGTTGTTCTGGTACCTGTTGACTACAGCACCCTCTAGCTTTAGTGAAAGCACCGATTAGCGAAGCCAGCACTGGTCTGTGCACTGACTGCAAGCAAGATGTGATGACAACTCCATTTTAAAGACACAGGACGTTAATCTGTGCTAGTAATCTTGGCATTTTTGATAAATAGAAGGTACACAAGTGGTAACACAGCACTTACAGTTCAACACTTTTTGTGGATAACTCATTTTCTAATGCAAGCGTTTATTTGTCCACAGCTTCAGCAGTATCTTCAAACCTGAGTTACTCTAATATTAATGCACGGTGAAAACAAAAACAGCCCACACGGTGAGATAAGTTATTGTAAAATTATATTAACAAGCAATCTTTCCTCAATTTGAAATAAAAAAATATCAGCAAATAAAGGCAACATAGGACAGATGTGTATAATGCATAATGTTCACAGGGAAAAAAATGAAACAAAAATTCTCATCACATTTACAAGACTGCGGCTAAGTTTATAATGATGCCTACTAGAATCAGTTTAGAAAGCTTTGACTAACTGAATAACTGGGGCAATATATGTAGTCAAAGTTTGTATCAAAATATAAAAAAATATGCGGATGGGCAAGAGACGGGCAGGACCAAAGGGACGACCAGTGATACAGGAAGGAAGTGTTAACCAGTATGTGTGAGAGATTAAAATGGGCAACTCATCCATATATCCATCAACCAAATTGGAAGTAACACAGAAGGCTACGACGATGAAGCGCACAGAGTGTTAAGCACAGGCAGGTAAAGAGATATACACCACATCTTAAAGCAGGTGTCCACATAGAGAAGAGCAGCACTAGGTAGTATGTTGTACACAGATTCTCAGCACTCATGCACTCACTTTTTAAGCCAAAGTCTGGCTTCCCTTGACAGCACGCGGCAGCAGTCCAGCTGTTTAAACAGCCAAGAGTGGCAGAGTAGCAAACTGTCAACAACAAAGCCCCTTTCAGACATGCAGTCCTTTTCCATTAATCTGACAGCACCCGCGAACGCGTCGGCTTCGCACCCGAACGGGCGCCCCCGGTCACTTTTCTGCAAAGATTGCGATGGAAATCTCGAACTAGGTCCGACCTAGCACTTTCAACTTGGCACATGTCTGAATGCATTAACCGATGCACAGGATTATGACTGCCCATATCTCTCGTCCATCTTTGATGTAGAGATTGCCCCAAACAGCAATAAAATATGACGTGAGGTTTTATCTCATCGGAAGCTATTTTTCATTTTCAGTAAGGTGAAAACGTCGCTCTCTAATGCAGTGCATATTCCCCATGCAGAAGAGAGAGTCTGTGTTCAAAGGGCAGGGGCAGCTGTGGCAGAACGCACACACTCGCGCACATGCATGCACACACACACTCACTCACACAGACCCTGATCTTGGTAAAAATGTCACATCGAGTTAAACGTTCAACAGTGTGGCTACACTTCACTAGATGCCTAATGCTCACTGCCACGAATGCGACAATTCTTTTGCACATATGGTGAATATCTCACATACCGTGGCTCTCTTTGCAACTGTCATGGTTACGTCTGAATAAAGCTGCGAGGAACACTGATGTAAAAGTGACCAAAGCCTAACAGAATGCCATCGCTTTGAGGGACTGATGAAGGCGGCAATGTTAAAAATCCCATGTCTGAAAAGGGCTTGAGAGACTGATCAATCTGGATCAATGTGACACTGTAACAACACCGCTGCAAAAGGCTGTCACAATAAAAGCCATATTCTTTCACATCGTTTCCATTTTTAAGTCTCTTTAAATAGAAAGGTGGGCATTGGGCAGAGTAATACATTATTCAGAAAGGTGGCCACAGAGTAAAAGACAAATCCTCAGTCCTGTGTCAACCCATTTCTGTGACACCATATGCATGGCGAAAAGTAAAATGACAAGACAGAGACTTTCCAAGCTCACAATGCGTATGCAAACTCTCCAGTGTTTTAAGTGACAAAAGCAGATATTTCCTGCACATCTTGCACCACAAAGCAATCATTAAAAAGTACAAGAGGTAAACTTCCAACCTTTTTCTCTTCGCACTAGGATTAAAGAGGCTGAGAGGACTGAGCGGGGTCAGGAGGTTCTGCAAAGAACATAAAACGTGTCATTTATGCATTTCAGTAGCTGGTTTCTCACACAGGGGTTGTGATAAATGGTGTAATTGTCCTTCATTTTGAGCAAGGAGCAGTAGTTTGCCAGCCATTTAGATTTTTTTGTTTTGTTTTTGTCCCCCAATCAGCATTCTGGCGTTAGTGTGGAACCAAAATGGCGCCTGTCCCTGATTTGGTGCTGATGTGTTTGGCCATGTCCTACAGTGACTTCAGATCCTCGGAATGATGGCAAATCGGGGAGGGTGAAGAGGGGGAGGGGGTCACACACTCATCGTCATGGTTGGAGAGTACTATGGAAACACACACGCAAGAAAAGGAAGCTTTAAAACACATCCATGTGTTACTATAGTTTACACCTTGCTTTATGTCCTAGCTTGTGTCTCCGGCTTCATCACGGCGGAGCTACAGCTACAAACACTCTGACGACTTACGTTCTCGCTCTGAAAGGAGTGGAGGAAGTTTCCACTCAGCTCCCCGTCATCCCTCGGGGTCCCGGGAGGATTGCTAATGCCACTTAAATTGTTTGGGGAATTCTAGTAACGAAGAGGACGAAGTTACCAGTTTAGTTTATCTGGGTTGAAAAGATAAGCAACATGGCTGCATTGGGGTTGTTTTTTTTACCTTGTTCATTCCATCCATATCACCAGAACCTGAAAATTAAACCATGTGTGAAATAATTAAAACAATGTTCATGAGCCCATTTTATACAGTGAGTGCAGATAATAACATGTGCTGTCTTTAACAGGTGGGGATGCAATCCAAACACTTTAATGCACTGTGGTGAGTAGTGTTACCTAGTGATCCATTCATGTGGTGTGGTTCCATCCCAGCCATGGCTCCCAGGGGTCCATCAGAGCCTGGGCCCATAGGGAACTAGGGGAAGGAGGGGGGGTAGTGGCATGAACACTTATCACAGCTCCGTAGCGGAGTTGCCGTACGATTAGTTAACTACCAAAATTGAAACTA